TGTGATGCTCCTATGTCACCTTCCCCAATTCTCATTCCATGCACGGACACCTTCTCGTCTCTCATTCATCTATCCTCTCCACAAATATTTACTGAACACTTACTGTGTGGCCAGGACTGTGCCTTCAGAGGGGCTCACAATCTATTCAGGCAGACTGACCTATGGCAACTAATTTCATCTCAGTGGCATAAAGCCCTAGTTGTGCTATGCATCAAATATCATGAAGGCGTTGAGAAGAAAGGCATGAACTGCATGAGTCAGAGAAAGTTTAACTTAGGACATAATATTTGATCTAGGTTTTGAAGGATGGAAAGATGGTCAGCAGGTATAAAAGAGAAAGGTATTCGAGGCAAAGGAAATAGCATGTGCCTAATTCGACCTACTATACTTTTCTGTTCTTAGAACTTCTATAGTTTCTACTTACATCATGGACTTCACAATTTCAGTACTTATGGTGTAAAATGACTAATTTATAAGCACATTAGATGTCTCAAAAAACTTCTTGAGAAGCCAGTTCATAGACTTCATATGTATTCTCCTTAAACCTTAGCAAAGCGCTGGTCATTGGGCACATAGTAAGGATCACCAAGATGTTGACAGGTTAATCCAATCATCTGTCAGCATTTATGTACCCATTTTTTTGTGGATGTGTTCCATCAGAAATTTATTTAGGACACTAAAATTTGGACTTCATATAATTTTTCACAAATAATGAATTCTTCTTCTGATACTTAAAAGACTTAATTATTTAGAGCAGTTTTAGGTATGCAGCAAAACTGAAGGAAAGTACAGAGAATCTTCCACATATTCATTGTCCCCACACATGCATAGCCTCCCCCACAATCTATTCTCCCCACTGAGTGGTACATTTGTTATAATTGATAAACCCACACTGATACATTGTAATCACCTAAAGCTGGCATTTTACATTACAGCTCACTCTTGGTGTTGCATGCTCTGTGAGTTTGGGCAAATGTATAGTGCTATGTATCTATTATTACAGCATCATATAGAATATTTTCGTTGCCCTAGAAATCCTCTGTATTCTGCCTGTTCAGTCCTCCTTCTGCCTGTTCAGTCCTCCTCCCTCACACACACACACACACCTTAGTTTTTGTGTAAGGGAAGGAAACCAATACTTACTGACTGCTGGCTTCATGCTAGGTTCTGTTAAAAGCTTTACACTGTGTTCCTTCGTTTAGAGAGATTAACCAGGCAGTAGGCTATTTTGGAAGATGAAGGAATTAGGAAAAGGGAGACTAACATAAACTTCACTGTAGCAAACCCAGAATGAGCAAAGAGGAAGCCTCTGATGGCATTTAATCAGTCACTATGTACCAAAGGGAATGGAAAGAGAAGATACATTTTGCTCCTGAAGCCCATCTTTTCATAAGCCCCCACCAGGTACACATGCCACCTGGTAGTAGTGACGTCTATGATCTGCTGCTGACTGTACTAAGCTAGGATTCATCAGGGACTTCACTTTAAAAGGAGCAATATGTGGCAATGAAAAGGGCATGAGCTTAAGAGTCCAGTGAAACCCTGGTTTTCCATGTTACTAGCTGTGTCACATTAAGGAAGTTTCTTTTTTTTATTTTATTTTTTTTAATTTTTATGTTTTTTTTATTTATTTCTAGGAGAGAGAGAGACAGCGTGAGCAGGGGAGGGTCAGAGAGAGAGGGAGTCACAGACCGAAAGAGGCTCCAGGCTCTGAGCTGGCAGTCAGCACAGAGCCCGACGGGGGGCTCGAACCCACGAACCGCGAGATCATGACCTAAGCGAAAGTCGGACGCTTAACCGACCAAGCCACCCAGGCGCCCCCACATTAAGGAAGTTTCTTAACCCATGGAAGCCTTATTTCCTTGTCTGTGAAATGGATACAATAGTAACTACCTCATAAACTTATATATTAGTTGCATGACACCTAGAGTACTGAAATGCTCTATAAACCTTCATCTCCTGCCCTCCCTCCCTTCCTATGTACAACCTATTGGAACTGAAGAGATTGAAAGTACCAGACATGACCAATAAAGCAAAAGTGCTTTTCTTTGGCAACATCCTTTATTACAGAAATTTTGCTTCTTCAAATGTCAACTCCTGCTGATGTCATAGTGTTAGCTGTTCGACATATTCTTGGAAGGCTAACATTGTTTGTAGATGCTTTGGTTTGCAAACAAATCCAGATAGAGAAACTGTCGCACATTTCCTAAAATTCAGGACTCCCTTGTTTCTATTTTTGTTGCATAAGTCACTGGACTACTTTCTTCGATGCCGAAAATGAGGCATTTTGTACAGACGGAAATTAACTATTCTCTTTCTCAGTTTCAGCAAGAAGGACATTTATTCTATGTTCAACAAAGTCATATTCAGCTTTCCAAACTGAGAAATATTTAAAGGATTTCATTATATTTGGGGAAATTTTCATCAACCAGAGATTTAACAGCTACCAAAAAAAGACCTCCACAATTAATCTTTTATAACATGAGTGTGACTTGTAATCTCCATACGAAGAAAAAAAATTTCTAAATATAGAGGAAAACCCTTCATAAGCTATAATATTTCTTGGCAAAGAAAAACTGCTTTATGATTTTTAAGATATGTTTGAGAATTTAAATGAAACTTACATGTTTGAAATTAGTGCCAGATGCAACCCAATTCAAGCACAATTCACTAGCTGCATCATATCACTATGATTTAGTAAAAGGTATTCAACAATTCTATGTTTCACAGAAATCTCAGAAATACAAGTATTTCATTCACAAAATGCATGGTTTGGCAGGTTTCCAGAGCAGGAATTTGCTGGAGGCAAGGTAAATTTATTGATTAAAATAAATCAAATGACTGACATTTCCCCCAGAAAACTGGCAAAACAATGATATTCAGAGACTGGAAGTCTTATGACCAGAGCCAGAGGAAAAGTCTGAGCTATTTACATTTATTATAGGAATTCAATAATGTGATAAACAGACATTTGAGAATTCTCAAATTTAAAATTTTAAAATACATATTTTTGGAGTAGAACTCTCTAAATCTTTTTTTTAATGTTTATTTTTGAGAGAGAGAGCACAAGTGGGCGAGGGGCAGAGAAAGAGTGAGAGAGAAAGAGAGACAGAATCCAGAGGAGGCTCCAGGCTCCAAGCTGTCAGCACAGAGTCTGACGTGGGTCTTGAACTCATGAGCCTTGAGATCATGACCTGGGCTGAAGTCGGATGCTTAACTGACTGAGCCACCCAGGTGCCCCAACTCTCTTTGTCTTTATATATGAGGTCTGGTGTTTGTAGGCTTTTGGAATAATTATATTCTTCCTCTATCCTTCGAACATTTTTTAAAAATATTTTTATTTATTTCTAGGAGAGAGAGAGACAGCATGAGCAGGGGAGGGTCAGAGAGAGAGGGAGTCACAGACCGAAACAGGCTCCAGGCTCTGAGCTGGCAGTCAGCACAGAGCCCAGCGCGGGGCTCGAACCCACGAACCGCGAGATCATGACCTAAGCGAAAGTCGGACCCTTAACCGACTAAGCCACCCAGGCGCCCCTATCCTTCGAACATTTATATGCACTGAATAATGAAGACTCTTTGGTGGAATATACGTAGAAGCAATCCAGATAGTTCTTAAACAGGTCAACATCACTTGCCTCCTACCCTGTGTCTCAGTTCTTCGCCCTCTGTGTTCTCTTTCTCCATGCCGGTCACATTTCCACCAATAACATTTGCTATGAATTGAATGATTATGTACCTGCAAATTCCCGTGTTAAACATCTAACCCCCAGTGTGGCTACATTTGGACATGAGGCCTCAAAGGGATTAATTAAGGTTAAATGAGGTCATAACGGTCCTGATCCCTAGTATTAGTGTCCTTATAAGAAGACCTGCCAGATAGCTTTCAGGAGCGCACACACGTTCTTTCTTAGGGACCAAGCTTGTCAATTCAGGGTTTACTAGGATTCTGAGGTTACAGAAAACTGCTCCATAAATCTGGTGTATCCTTCTGGGACCTGAAGGTGAGGTGTTGGGTAGTTAACTAATAAGCTTAAACATCTGTTTATACTAAATCATGATATATTCGAGTGCGTTGCAAAATTCTTTTATTTTTAGAATGCTTCAAAGAAAGGCATGATTGATGTTAACATCAGTAACAAGTAGCCAAGACTTAAAATTACTGTGGCTCAGGCAATGTGTTAAGGACTATCTGTATATTCTTTCATCATCCTCACGACACCAGAAAATAGGAAAGTATTCTTAGTCCTATCATTATTACAAACCACTATTTCAAAAAATGAAAGTATTTCTAAAATAGTGCGCATCCCCATCACTATCACATTATACTGCTTTATATTCTTCACAGCGCTTTTTTGGGTTTCTTTCTCCATACTTATTTTCTATGCTCCCCCAAGCCCCTCCCCGGGGCCTGAACCAGTGGTGGTCACGGAAAAGGGGCCCAAGCTTTTAGCCAAGGTCACACATCTGGTCAGTGAAGCAGATGGTAAGCGCCAGGAGAGCAAGAGTCGGGACTTTTCCGCTAAACAGAGGCTGGCATAGTGCCTGCTCAATAAATATTTACAGAAGGGAAAAAGGAAGGAAGGGAGGGAAGAAAGAGGAAGCGAGGGGGAGAGGATGAATGAATGGAAACGTTGCCAGAAGAGCCTAGAGAGCACCTACAGCGAACTTCCCTCCTCGGGGAATGAACTCAGTTCAAGGTCTAAGCCAGTACCATCCTCACCTTCAACACCGGCGAGCAGCAGGGAATGGGGGTGGGGGAGAAACAAAGCCTTTAACAACGTCCAGAAGACAGGGGGAAACGGTGAAAGAAAAGTAGAAAGAGACGAATCCTTTCCTGCAAACAGATTTGAAAGCAGAGCGAAGCGCGGCCGGTTGCCATGACGACCCCGAGGCCAGAACGGGTCCAGCCCATTGGCTGAGATGCCGGAGCCAATGAGAAGGCGCGGTGTTGGCGGGGTCTTAAGATGGCTGCGAGGCGGCCGGCTCCCGACGGGTGAGTACGGCCGACTGCGGGGCTGCCTCTGCACTGGCCCGGGCTCCGCCGAGACGGGTCCGGGAGGGCCGGGTGCGGAGAGCGAGCGAGCCGGTGTGGGGCGGCCTCACGGCCGGGCCCACGGCGGCGTTGGTGGGGCCGGCGTCTGCTTTGCAAGGAAGGGGCGTAGCGGCGCCTTCCCGAGCCTGTTGGTGGGAGAGGGGTTCTCCGTCCCCCCTTGCCCCCCGCCAAAGAGAGAGGGGGCGAAGAGGCTCTCCATCGGGGAAACAGGCTCCTGTTTACATCCGCTGTATCCCGGGGAAAGAGCTGCACTTAGTGGCAGTGTCCGCGGGCTAGACGTCCTGCGCCCGATTCTGCGGCGCTCAGTTCTGTGCCCGGGATGGGCTTCTTCCCGTCTGGGGATCCGAGTGTGGCCCTGCCGCCGGAGAGCCTGCCGAGCTCGGGGTGGTGCCGCCCAGCAGGAAGAGGTGTACCTTTCTAGAGCCACCCTCTTGCAGTAAGTATTCTCCCAGCGGCCTCCGACTTAAAATGAGCCTCGAAATGTTATTGGTTCCCTGTAAATCTTTTCCGTGCGGGGCCGCGGGACGTGTTTTCCAGGCCTTGCGGAAACAAACACAGCCTCGTATTGAAACAAATGCATGAGTACAAAGCCCCGCTAAGTAGTTTGGGTAATCCGACTGGGAAGTCGGAAGTCAGGCCTCTGATTCAGGTGAACTTTAATATTGATACATACTTAAAAGTATTTTAGCTAAGTAACTAATTCCAAGTCACAGAAACTGATATTGTGTAAATTGCTTAACATGATGATGGTTTATGATTCTTATACAAAAGCCAAGGTTAAATTCAGGTCAGACAAAATTCAGATTTCTGTGATTATTTCTAATTGAGTACAAAATACAGGAAATAAGACAGCTTCATATAGTGACAGTGGAATTGAAATTCTGGAATATTAGAAACGGGAGACATTTACCCATTAAACTGCTCAGATTAGGTTTTGGTTACAGGCAGTTGCCAGATCTTCCAGAGAATTTGACACTATTACCCAAATCTCTGAATGTGATTTTTATGTATACAAGTTAGTATAGCATCTTACATACCTTTCTGCACTTAAAAGGTGAGAAAAAAATTTTTTCTTCATCATATTATGGCAGAATTACAGCCTTGGTCATTCTTCAGTCTCACCCAAATCTTTGTCTCCAGGAATATGTTACTACTTAAATACTGCCTTCTAAAAGTTTTTAAGTTGAAGCATTGAGTTCTGTTGTGTCAAAATAAGCAGATCACAATGCATTAGGCCAAGTCAGTTACTTCATCTTAAAAGGGATTTAAATCGTAATTCGAAGTGGAACGTTTGTTGTAGGGATTAATGGTAAAAGAGTTTCTGTCATACTGTTTTTACGCCATGAATAGTATTGACTTGCTTTGTTTTTCTTTTCAGTTGTTTGTTCTATTGTAACTGGAGTCTCTCTTGCTTTCTCCAGAACATCTTTCAGGTGTTTTTGTCTGACATGCAGTCTTACTGAAAATTATAAATCATGGCTGTGGTGGCTGGGTTGAAGAGAGAAACCTTGTCTCCTGGGGTATTCAGATTTAATCAGTATTGCATCTGACTGGTATATCACATCTCTTGAGAATGGCTGCATAATTTTCATATTTAAAGGGTAATTTGGAAAGACTTGCTTTATTTATTTATTTATTTATTTTTTAACATTTTTATTTATTTCTAGGAGAGAGAGAGACAGCGTGAGCAGGGGAGGGTCAGAGAGAGAGGGAGTCACAGACTGAAAGAGGCTCCAGGCTCTGAGCTGGCAGTCAGCACAGAGCCCGACGCGGGGCTCGAACCCACGAACCGCGAGATCATGACCTAAGCAAAAGTCGGACGCTTAACTGACTAAGCCACCCAGGCGCCCCTGGAAAGACTTGCTTTAAAATCAGGCATGGAGTGGGGCGCCTGGGTGGCTTAGTCGGTTAAGCGTCTGACTTTGGCTTAGGTCATGATCTCATGGTTCGTGGGTTCGAGCCCCGCGTCGGGCTCTGTGCTGACTGCCAGCTCAGAGCCTGGAGCCTGTTTCAGAGTCTGTGACTCCCTCTCTCTCTGACCCTCCCCTACTCATGCTGTCTCTCTCTATCTCTCTCTCTCTCTTAGAAATAAATAAAACATTAAAAAATTTTTTCAAAAAAAAAAAAAGAAAAAATCAGGCATGGAGTGAGAGACACTTCAAAGAGCTAGAGAGCCATTCTTCAGAGCAGCCCAAACAGGGGTAACAGGAGGCCTAGTGTAGTATCCGCTGGTGCCATAGTACAATTGGAAATGTATGAAGGACATGTAGATGCTATGATTTTTTAAAAATTTTTTAATGTTTATTCATCTTTGAGAGACAGAGTGAGTGGGGGAAGGGCAGAGAGAGAGGGAGACAGAATCCGAAGCAGGCTCTAGGCTCTGAGCTGTCAGCACTGATGTGGGGCTTGAACTCACAGACTGGGAGATCATGACCTGAGCTGAAGCTGGACGTTCAACCGACTGAGCCACCCAGGTGCCCCAAGATGCTATGACTTTAAAGACAGTGTTTTCAAACGTGAACCCCAAGCAGGTCACGAAGCAACCGCTCCATGTTGCGGGTTTACAGTTCAGCTGCTGCCCACGTGGACGGCTCAACTTTGCAGGCCCCCCAGTGACTGATCTGTGCTCACAAGAGGGCATGGAGTTGCCTTTGTCTGTCCATCTGTCTATTTTTTATTTTTTAAACAGGCACATCCCTTAAAGATGTTCAGGAATCGAGTTCAGAAACATGCGTTATTTGCATTTTGCCTTATTTTATGGATTTGGATGTAGAATCTAGAATTTGAAATTTATCCTGATTTTTCTTTTCTTCTGTGGGCACACACAAGGGATTATCATACCAGCCAATGTCAAACTGAAGACAACCCTTAATGTCACATCAACAAGAGCTGAAAACAGATGCTTCAGAGGAAGTTTAAAAAGTGATCAATAAGTGCTTGAGAGCCCACAGGGAAAGGCAGCCCTGCGGCAACTGAGAGTGCCCCCCAGCGGGAAGCCCACTGGGTGCCCAAGGCGTGGACCCACCCTGTAGGGATGCTGAAATAGTGCTCCAGTGGAAAAACTGTACCCATCACAGAGGCACGTGCATTTCATTGGCAGCCACAGCTGACGATCTGGGCTGAGTGTTACTTGGCTGCTAACGTACAGAGGCCTGCCGTGTGCGTAGAGTGTCAGCTCCATGAGGTTAGGTATTGTTGCCTGTTTTGTACACCGCTGCCCCCACTGTTTTGTACTATTTTGTACACCGCTGTTAAAGAGTGTCCGGCACACAGTGGCCGTGGGCAAGATGCTATGGACAGGGGAAAGGAACAAGGGACTCACATGTAGAACCCCAGTTTTGCTAAGAAAGCTAAATCTGAAATTTGTTACTATCCTTAAGTTCTGAAATGAATGAGCCTAAAGGTATATTAATATGTCAGTGGCAAAGTCATGTTGGAGCTTATTATCATTCCCCCTCCATCTACTCCTCAGAACACTAGAAATATTTTTATCGATAGCATAACATGCGTTTTTCAATATTGGCATATTTCACATGATGGCTTTTGTGCTAACAAAGTATCTAAAGATTACCCGTTCCAACTATTAAAACCCTCAGGTCAGGTTAAGGATGGATCCAGGCCTTACGGGCTGGGAGCTTATATAATTTTGGGTCTCCGCCTTAAGAAAAATAATACAGATTCTAAATAGAAAATTAGGTATAATGCTTTGGAACAACCCGTGCAAAGGAGGGGCCTTGAAACTTAGGCCGCATTATCTTCCTGCCTCTGGTTTTATTGTTCCATTCAGAAAACCAGATACCAATATTTTTTTATAGAAACTTCTGTTAGACCGAGAAAATCTGGGAAGTAAATGATTTGGATCAATTGCTCAGTGGAATGCACCCCAGCCTTAGAAACCTCAAAACTAGCTTGTGAATGTTCCCACCCACAGTAGAAATTATAAAAACGTAACGCGTGGCCACAGGAATACTGATAGCAAGAAGAGCTTAGCATTGATCACACCCCTGGAACCTCCCAAACGTTGTGGTGAGCGTTTTCATAGCTCATCTCATTTAACTCTCAGAATAACCCTGTATGCAGTATAATTATCATATCGCAGAGGAAAAAAACTGCGGGTCAAAGGTGGTAAAAATGATTTGCTGGCATGTGGTGGGGTGAGGATTACAATTGGAGCAGTTAGATGTCAGAGCCCTTCTTCGTAAAAAGCCAAAAGAGGATTTTGGTGAGGGTGTTTCAGGGGGCTAACAACTGATGAGGCTGGACCAAAACCACCAGAAATAAGATCTGATTCTTTTGACCTGGGAGGAGGTCCTTAAAGGTTATTAGGAATCCTGTTATTCAGATTAATGCAAAATCCCGTAATGCCTTTGTCTGAGAGGCAATGGTGGTGGTTTTCTCATTAGGTTTATCACAATAGGGGGCAGAAAACTCAGCAAAAACGATTTCTATCCTTGCATTTTATTTATTCCTTGAAGTTGATAGTAAATCATGAGCAGTACAACCAACTTCTCTTTTTTAAAGCATCTTTTGAACAAAGCGGTTTTGACTCATTATGTATGCTAAAATAGACTGTGCCAGGAGGATGAATAGTGAAAATGTACTCAGTTGTCATAATTTTAGCAAATGATTTTAACTCCAATTTTTAAAAATCACTTTTGATAAACTTAACGGTAGTTAATATTCTCCCTACCAATGGGCCATAGAGCTGATGATAAATATTATCCTGAACTTTAACCCTCGTTTCCTCAATACAGTATTGTTAATCAAAAAAGCTGTATGTTTTTGTTAAATTTTTAGGATTATACTCCATTTGGTATTATTTTAGCAAACTGTGTAAAAATAAAAACTAGGGCATTCTCTTTACCACCACGCTTGCACAGACTACTTGCACAGCCTAAAAATTTTCCTTTGAAAATTGTTCTTCTACTCCTTAGACAGTAAGTCCCCTGAAAGTGCAATTTCAAATCCTGGCGAAAATCCGACTTTAGTTTCTTTTTTAATTGTGTTAGCTTGAAATGCAGTATTATAAATCTTAAATCGTGTGACTGTGTATTTTTAGACCCTTAACATTCTTGAGCAATGAATGCTTTTACAAAATTTGGGTTTTTTTAGACACAGTTTTCCATATATTAAAGAATCCAGGTCCTGTTTTCTTTAAGTCATTCATCTGTAAGTGTGTCTTTTAACAACTTTAAACAAAACAAAACAAAATTTATACAAGCAAAGATTTTAATTTAAAATTCCAAATTATTTTAATATGGAAGGTACATCCCATTTTAGATTAAAAGGAAAAAAGCATAGATGGACTGTTTCCAAACCATTGGGATAATCACTAGGCTCTTGGGGTTTTAAATTTCTTCCCATGTCTACTTAGTATGTCTACATTCATCTTTTTCTCTTTAGAGGGAAAGATGTGGAGTGGACTGCTACCTCCTGGCCTAAATGAAAGTGATATTGAGTTGAATTCTGAAGATGAAGCCCCGTTAGAGAACTCTGGACTTAACTTGCAGGAAGACGAAGAAGATGGGGTCATTACAAAAACAGAGATCTCAGATTTCCCTACAGATGGACCAAAACCCGACGCCGAGGCCAATGTCAATGCCTATGAAGAGTGCCCCTCTGGAATTCCCTTAAACATGTGGAATGTAGGTTCTCTGTGATATGTGCTTATTGAAACCGGTGTCTGTGTGTTTGCACATGATCCTGTGTATGTCTCTGTCATGGTTTGAATGCCTGTGTTCTGGGGAGATAATAAACAGGTGGGGAAGGTTGGCTCAGAATACTCTATGGTCAGCCACTCAGGTACTTGCTTTCATTTTTGTCTTGTTTTTTATAAAAAGAGGAAGAAAAAAACAGTAGTTTAGCTACTTGGCCTAACGTAATACACGAGTTTCTATCTTCATTTGATCTCTTTGTCATCTGTATGAGTCATTGAATTTTACTCTCAAATAATCAGATTGACTTAGGTAGAAATAAATGAAGATAAAAATTCCAGATTGTGAAGGAGTCTTAGAGAATAGCGTAGCTCAAAAAGATTACTTTTAAAAAAGATTTTACTTTTGTTAAATCTGTATTTTTATAAATGCTAGAATGTATTTTTATTACTTAACATGTTTGTAATTTTTTGAATGTATGCTTTGTTTCAAAATATGTTTGTTTTTTCCTTTTTTTCACTTTTATATAGAAATTTCAAGAATTGCATAAAAAACATTCTGAACAGAAAATCTCAACATCAGGATTCAGAAGGAAGAAAAGAAAACGCTCCAGGAAAGGTGTTTTGTTTAAATTCAAGTTAATTGTTGCTCATGCTAGTGTTAAGTTGTGACTATTGAGCTCAACAGTTTTTAATCAACATAATTTTGAAATAATGAATATTCAGGTATTGACACTTTGTGAACTCTTTTCAGATAAACTGAAGAATGAAGAAGAGTCTCAAAGGTGGGTAGAATTTAAAATATTTGCTTCTTCTAGACAGTATTATAAAACCTGTACCAATAGTTGAACTACTTAACCTCTGAAACATAGGGGCTAGTTTCTGTAGATCGTAGTTGTAGTAACCAATTAAAAACACTAAAAATGAGTCCCTGTCCCTTCTTTCAGTGCCCAGACCTCAAGTGAAGCCCAGTGGAAGGAGCTTACTCAGTATTTTGGAATCAATGAGAGGTTTGACCCCCCTGTCAAAAAGAAAAAAGTTGACAAGGTAAGATACGTTTTTTATGGCCTCTTAGTAGAAAATGTTTGTAATTAGCCTTGCCTAAGGTATTTCTCCTCAGTAATGAATTCAGTGAAAAAGTTAAAACACTTCCTGTGTGCTAAACAAGATGCTAGGTAAACATGTAAATGTGTAGTTAAAAATTATTTTTTAAAAAGGCTGTTAAGAAGGAAATAAACAGGATGTAGTAAAGAAATTTAAAATGAATGCCCCACTTTAGGTGGTCAGGGAGGGCCTTTCTTGGAAGATGCCATTCCATTGAGACCTGAAGGATGGGAAGGAACCATCCGTACCCAGAATGCTCGGGGAGAGGCAGTAACCTGGGTAAAGGTCCAGGGGAACAAAGCCCTCATGGGACATTTGAGTAACTGTAAGAAGGTCAGCCTGGCATGAACGGAGTCAGCGAGGAGGAGGGTAGCCCAGGATAGGATTGGAGAGGTGGGCAGCCGGGAGCCAAACTATGAAGGACCTTAAGGGCCATGGTAAGGAGTTGGGTTTCAGTTACAGTGCAGTTGAGAGTCATTCAAGCGTTTTAAGTTAAGGGAGTGATATGATCGAAGTTGTGTTTAAAAAGATTGCTCTTGTGTGGAGAATGGACTGTGGATCAAAACAAGTAGGTGGGCAGAGAACAGGTAAGAGACTCTTCAAGGTGCAAAAGGATGGTGGCTTGAACAAGAATGGCGCTGCAGAAGGTGGAGAAGAATGGACAGGTTTGAGGTCTATTGTAGGGGGAGAGTTGACAGTATTTGCTATTTGCCTCTGATGCTTGTGAAGCGGCAGAGAGGATTTGGGGTGTGAGGAGGGAAAGAGAGCCATTCAGGTGTTACTTTCAGCAGTGTTGTGAACAGTGATGCTAGTTACGAATGTGGGGAGGGAGGGGAGAAGATTTAGGGTGGCCTCTGTCCAAAGTTCAGTTCAGGGCATGGGTGGTGTCAGCAGGCAGGAATAGAGAGAAGGTTGGTAACATGAGGCGAGAGCTCAGAGGAGAATCTGAGCTGGAGATACACAGTTGGACGTCTTCAGTGTATGGATGATGTGAATCTTTAGAGAGTCTGGAATGAATGAGTAACTTACATATTCACATCCTGGACTCTTGGAGTGTGAAAACTGAGCACTGAGTGTAGGGCTAGAGGCCCAAGTTTATTGTATCCTGCCTGTGTAGACAGAGTCCTCCTTCGTGGATCATTTCTGTAGACTGCTGTGTGTACACAGAGACCATTACCATTTACTGATTAATCAGTATTTCTTGTGAAGCAGACCTCAGCCTGTAAACCCATCCCTGGGTGGTATTGCATCAGTGAGGGCATGTGCGTTAAGGAACTGACGGCAGAACTTTGCATGGAAACCTTTTGGTTCCAGCTTTGCTATGAAGTCTTGCCACCAGGTTCCTGGAGCACTGGGGGCTTGAAACCAGGATCACTTTCTGCTGCACTCATCGCTGCTACTGAGCAATCCCTTTTTCACAAATGTTCAAGAAGGTGCAGAAATGCTTAAATTCTTACAAAGAAAGATCAGATGAAAACCCAGACTTTGTGACCCCATTCTCATTCCTCTAGCTTCACTGCAGAAAGACTGGCTGGCACTTTAAAGTGTCCTTCCCCTGCTCTCGACCCATGTGATCGTGGTGGGCTGGGAGGAAGGGTCTTGGGGGAAGGCTGCTCTCGGGTGCTGTGAGAGAGGAGGGTGGTGCTGTGGCAGTGGTCTGGGCTCTGGCCCACCTGCCGGACAGTCCCCACTGCTGGCTGTCCTTTCAGCGGAATGGACGGTTAAATATTGCTTCTCATGGGAAATGTTTGTAAAGTTCTACTCCTGAATTAGGTGGTCTTTGATCTTCAGTTATTTATAGCATTTGTTACATTTTCTCATAACTGTTGACTTTAGAGTGTCTAAACAGTTTCGTAGTTGAAGTTAGGGCTCTGACAGTAAGTTTTAAATTTCAATTTTTTAACCATTCTAAAGAGGAGAAAACTTGAGAGATTTTTTTTTTTACAGTCTTTCCATATCAGATTATTACTATTACACTATAAATACGGAATTGTACCTTCCTGATATTGGCCAGTTACAGCTCTTTTTCATCGTCTAAAATTTGAGATTTGTGTAGAGGAGCCTTATAAAGAAGACTAGAATTCCTGGTGCAAAGTCTTTAAACGACTCAGTTTTATGAACCAGTGTGTTCTCTTTCACATTATACATTAGATGTGTTCTAGGAAAAGACGTTTAATCAAGCATCATTTTAAAAATACTGATCTATTTTATGAGTTTGGATTTTCTTAATGTTAGACATTCCTCTATATGAGTGACATTTAAGAAAGTTATGGCATTTTTAAAATTAAAAAAAAATTTTTTATAGTTTTTTTATTTTTGAGACAGAGAGAGACAGAGCATGAGTGGGAGAGGGGCAGGGAGGGAGGGAGACACAGAATCTGAAACAGGCTCCAGGCTCAGAGCTAGCTGTCAGCACAGAGCCCGATGCAGGGCTCGAACCCACAAACCGTGAGATCATGACCTGAGCGCAACTCGGACGCTTAACCGACTGAGCCACCTAGGAGCCCCAGTTATGGCATTTTTTAAACAAGGAAACCTGTACTGGCCAGACTTGTATCTAGCCAGGATTTTGACAGCGCTTACTATTCTATAAATAAACGTAAGCATAAAAGGAAAAGAAGGACTTAGTGAGGCCACATTTCCTATTCTCTTGGTAGTTGGGCATCATTGCACGCCAGCAAGTTTGCACGCCTCCTTTGGTTTGAGGTCCCTGTTTCACTGTTGTACATGCACCCCTTTTGCTGTCACGCTGAAGTCTACTGTGAATCCAACAGAGTAAATAGACATTAAAGAATGTCCACACTGCAGGCAGCAAGATAAAAGCTAAGGAGAAATGTAAGTCTAGAGATAATAGCTACTGCTCGGGAAATCTAGAGAGGATCACAAAAATCTGTGACGCAGTTTGGAGAAAACTAGCATGGATTTCTAGTCCATTATTTTATTTCTCTGGAGCGGAGGCTGATCTTTTACCGTATGTGAGAGGGCCCTTTTATTCTGTATTCGCTCCATCTTCAAGAGTGTGAAACAGAACAAACTTCTTAATCTTGTGTCTAGTGTGCAGTCCTCCCCCCACCCCCCGGTTTTCCTTTTCTCTCTCACACTCCCTCCCTTCTTTTTCTGAACTCTGTCAGGCTGAAGCTGTTGCTCAACTGAGTGTATGTATTTACGATACTGCCGTCACCTGTTTTCTGGACAATGCAGAGAGGATTGTATTTGAAAAATGGAGTCTTCCTAATATCCAGAGCTATTTTAGAGTGTTGTTTGTATTAAATGCAGCGATAATTGTGTTTCTGGAAGTAGTTCTGGGACTTACTAATAATTCTGTAATCATAACATGATTATTTTGAACCTAAATAGGAATTTCTCTAGAACAAATTTCACTCATTAATCTCATTATAAATATCTCAAGTATTTTTTTTCTTTTTTTTAAATGTTTTATTCATTTTTGAGAGAGAGATAGAGGCAGTGTGATCAGGGGAGGGTCGGAGAGAGAGGAAGACAGAATACATGACTGTTCCCCTGGTATTAATTACAAAGCATTATCATTTGCTCTCCAGGTGATCCCTGTGGGGGTGGGTAGGTAGGGCCAGTGTTATTCTCATAATGTAGATTGACTAAAGCCCAGCATGATTTTGTGTGAGAAAACAAACAGCAGGTAAGAAGTAAAATGAGACTTTAACCAAAGTCATTTGGTCTCCAATCTAGATTTTTCCTAATAGCCCAACTGAGTTTTTATTTACCTGATCTAAATAATTTAAGTAGGTATGATTTTTACAGAAATATAATACCATTAATTTTTAGTTCTTTTTGGAGAGGTTACCTAAGTTTTTCCCCCTTAGATATTTATTTAGGTCTAATTAGGGTACAGCAAACTGTAGCAGACAATTCATTTATATTCAGCTTTAAAAATTGAATATATCATCCAAATACATGAATATTCAACAGCAAAATTTCTGTAGAAATATATTGTGCAGTTTGGCTGAAGGAGCCTTAATCACATGTCAAAAGAGATGGTGTGTAGGCTCATATGGACGATTGGTCCGTAATGTTAAACCGAGTACCCAGAAATTTCTTTGATGTTTGTCATCCTGCCTTCTTGGCATCTGCAGCAGACCTGTTAGAGGCTTCTTATTGCCTTGTCAGGGACCTGTTCCATACCGGCCTTCGATGGTTTTCTACCTATGGCCAAATTGGCACCCTGATTGGTCTGTGCTGAGGTACAGATCTCATCAGCTGAATTCTGATTCCCGCCGGAAGGCACCTGAGAAGTACTCCAAGGCCCCACAGGGCCATCAGTGCTTCTGTGCCCCCCCGCCCCCCACCTCCTGGGGTGTGAGAGGCATCATCAATAATTCCAAGAGGAGTACTCTTGGGTCCAAGAGACGGTAGAAGCCTTAATACTCAGATCTTACCTCATGAGACTACTTACCGGCTCTAAGTTGAATTGCTGGGTCTTATGCTTGGGGCCGAGCCCTTGATGATTTGTGATGAGGCCTGTAGCCAGACACAGCTAAGCCTTATCTTGGGTTTTTATTTTTTTTTTATTTCTAGGAGAGAGAGAGAGAGGGAGACAGTGTGAGCAGGGGAGGGTCAGAGAGAGAGGGAGTGACAGACTCTGAAACAGGCTCCAGGCTCTGAGCTGGCAGTCAGCACAGAGCCCGACGCGGGGCTCGAACCCACGAACCGCGAGATCATGACCTAAGCGAAAGTTGGACACTTAACCGACTAAGCCACCCAGGCGCCCCAGCCTTATCTTGGTTTTAATAATGGTACCCTGATATTTAGATAAAATAATATGAACAACTTATTTATCAAATGATGCTACATTCTAAATTTTTGCTAGGTATTTTATGTATATTTATTTTGACCCTTACGGTAAACTTGTGGTGAATGTGGTATTACTTTCTGCGGGTGAGGTGACTGTAACCCTCGAATTCGAACCCTGGGTCTGACCTCACCAGCCATGTTCTTTGTAAATCATTATTAACTTATGGTCTTACGATAATGGAAATATTTTACCTTAGGATGCTTCTCCATGAATATAAGCATTTTGAGTGTATTTGGAATGTTAATATCTTAAAGAAGCAGAAAGTTTGTGTGTGCATACAGAATCAGAAGTTTCTCAGAGCCAAATGGAACTATTTTATTTAAATAAACTGTCAAAAAAAAGTAAAGAAAAGGAAAAAAAAAGGGGAAGAAAAACAGTTCTGTCTAGTGACATTTTGTTGAATAAAAGAGAAAAAACTTAAAAGAGCTAAAAACAAAGTTGAACATGTAAGTGGACTTTTTCTAGGAGAGAGTTTGTGTTATCAAGTCAGTCATACCTTTTTCTTTAAGGAAACCCAGGCTTTGCCCATCCTTTAAGGAAATCTCATTTACCTGGAGCCATGGCCACCCCCCTCACTTCTTTTCCAGCGCTCTGTCTGCTATATCACACCAGTCCTCCGAATGGCTGGGGGAATGGGAGTGGGTTGAAGATGAGGCAATAGATTTGTAATTTTAGTTGACTTAGTTTTAAGTGAACATTATACTTACACACTAAGCAGTTCATGTAAGTTCCTATTTTCTGCCCTTGTGATGTTAACTGGAAATGGTGGTTCCAGAATAACCAAAAGGAAGTCAGCAAGGTGATGCAGCAAAATGACTTGACAAGCGGACTGCTGGTGTGTTCAGGGTGTTGGTGGGAAGAAGTAGGATGGTTTCCTTTTTATGCACTGATGTAGGATTATTCGAGGTCCTGGAGGAAAGGAGTGCAGCACCCAGGTCCTACCTAATCTTAGGAAGCCTACGTAATTGGAGGGAATCACATAGAGCTAATAAGGGGAATAAGCTGGGCCCAAGAATGGCTGCTGCTGGTGACCAGGTTGCTGAAATAAAAGGTTGAGATCACTGGCTTCCCCAGAATCTGTGGTACAGGGAAAATTGAAGTTTGCTCTTAGTGTTTTCTGATATATTTGAGGAGACACTTAATATTCTGTTCAAGAAGGAGCACCCATTAGGCCATTGTATGAGCATTCCTTTAAATAAAATACTTTATTCCTACTGTAAAAATAAATCATAGATAAAAAGTCCCAGAGGCAGGTACTGTGCTAAGCTCTGGGAGTCCAAGATGGAGAAGATATTCTCCATGCCCTAAAGGAATGCATATTCTAGTAATGGAAAGATTTATATATAAATAAGTACAATAAAAACTGACTTTTTTTTAACCATAGGGGTGTTAATACCCCCATATTACTGCTGTGGAATTTTCTTGGGAACTTGTCCGAGTGGTGGATATGTAATAAATGTTCCTCATTTGAGTGGGAGTCCTTTCAGTATTAATGCAACCGTGGATTACTACCCTGTTATCATTTACTCAATAACCTAGCCTAATTGAGTGCCTCCCATGTAAGAAGACCAGGCTGGGTGCTGGGGCAAACCAAGCCAGTGACGCACATGTCTGTCCTTAGTGAGCCTGGAACCCAGCTGGGGAGACAGACCCACAACTCACTGTAGCGTGTCAGGCCCACAAGTGTTAAGAGAGTGGTGAGAACAGTGTGGAAGGCACTTAGGTCCTGGGCACAGGGCAGAGTGAAGCAGGGTCAGTGGGTATATACTGGTGAGGGAACCTGCAGAGGTAGAGAAGATAACATTCGCCATGAGACAAGGATGGTTTAAGATTTTTCCAATAGAAACACATCAAAGGCACTGGGGACGTAAAAGGGTGACCAGAGATTGGGAAGCATAGCATTGCCCAAGATGGGGCTAAGAAAGCGTTTTGGGCTCTTATTGTGAAGGGATTTCAGTACACTCAGAAGAAGTAAAGAAGTGATCTTGTTTTCAACCTGGCTAATGATATGATATCTCTACTTTAGAAAAATAGAAGACTAGTTTGGAGAGGGTTCTCATCTTCCAAACAAGAGATAATGAGGCCCTGAAGAAGCCTAGGAAGGTGACATGAGGTACCCTACAAAAAGAGTTAAAATAAGAGAAGGATTGGAGGCTTTGAAGACTCCTGAGGATTCTATCAGGGGTGACCAAATGGGTGGTCAGCTCTGAGGGGGAAGCAGTGCAGGAAGTGATGGGCTTGTTTTTAGGCATAGCAATAACATAAAGTTGGAGACCCTACCTTTGCAAGGCTTCAGGACGAAGATAACTAGCAAGTAGCTGGGAGATGTAGATCTTGGTACAGCTGAGAGGTGAGATGGTTTGAGTTATATAGAGACACATAAAGTAGGGTTGACGGTGTTTGAAGAAATAAAAAAGTAATAATTTCTTAGAGGAATGTGGGAACTTTCAAGGGCAGAAATCAGAGCCCACTCAGCTGAGTTTGAAAAACAGCTTTTAGTAGCAGCTCGGGAATTGAGTTGCTGGGTTTTCTCTGACAACTGCTGGGACACCTAAGGGTTAAAGTGGTAGCAACAAGTGGTTGGGAATGGCCAAAACAACAGAAGATGTTGGGGGAAATTGAGAGTATTGCTTAGGCCGATGTTTCTCAAACTTGGGCCTAGTTAGTGCCGGTGGATTTCTGGGTGCCGATCCCAGTTTCTGATACAGAGCGTTTGTCTTTCTAACAGGTTCCTAGGTAATGCTGCTGCCGTTGGTCCAGACTTACGACTTTGAGAACTCCTGGCTTAGAGTTTGAAAAGGTTAATCATGGGTTGCAGGTCAGAGACGGAGGATAGGAGAATCCAGAAAGGGGCTAGAGGACGGTGAGAATCAGTATGGCGGTGCCAGGATTGGGCTTACAAACGAAGACAAGCAGGTTCACTGGCTACAAAGACTTGGGATAAGTGGAAGGACAGAATCTTGACTTCAGAGAGAATTCCAGGTTGTGAAGCTTTGGAGCCGGAGCTTTCGGGTGACGGGTGGTGCACGGCCCAGAGCAGGCCGAGGCAGAGGACCGGCCTTCCAGGAGATACAGACCTCGTGTCTGAATGTAACTCCGCGTACTCCTTCCTTTTTTGAGAAAGTCCTGTCCCCGTCCCTTACCCCTTGGCCCCTAAAAAAGTCAGACAAAACTTTATAGGCACGTGGCTGACTTGCATTCTGGCACAGGCTTGGTTCATGGACTGGCGCCATTCACAGGCCTGAACTGGTGCACAGACCACACTTGAAGTGTCCCTGGCCTGGAGTATGGACTCTGGGGTGGGCCGTTAGTTCGAGGGCCCGGAGGATGGAGGATGTTGGAAAAGCGAACAGCATGTTTTTTGGACCGTGAGGAGAAGAGTTCTGCAGAAATACAAAAAAGAATTTCTAGAGACGGACCAGTGATTGCAGGGCCCGAATGGGAAACGGACAGGCGAGCCCCATGGCCTGGGTTCAGAGAGCAGGGCTGTTGAGTGCATGGCTCGGGCTGCAGTTGGAGCAAGGGAGATCCAAGCCTGTCCTCCTCTCAGGTCCTTAGACGGGATGAGGGGTTGTGGGAAGGAGCGGTCGTCACTCGGCAGGGCCGCTGGTGATAACCTCCTGAGTCTGTTTTCTGTAATCTTTTTAGGCAGATTATATGTGGGCATTTTAAGTCCTGTTTCAACGGAGGCTGCACAGGAACAAAATTTCTCTTCAATGATGGGTATAATCAATCAGTTTGCTGACGGGGAGGAGGCATTCCTGGGTCCCTTTTACTAGACGAGGGACAAGTCGGGAACTGAAAACGTGAAAGATGCACACGCTGAGCCATTGTTAGGGCAGAATGTTCTTGTGAGACGCATATTAGACCATTAAACATTTCCTAATTTTCTGTGATAACTACTTCCACAAGCTGAAACTCAATTATGTAAGTCTAAGCGCCTTTCCATAAAGGTGTGATGAATCCTACCTCGTCTGTTGGTAATCCCATGAAAATTTTAATTATCATTTCCTAAAGCATCTTCAGCTAGTAAATAAAAACATTTCCATAGGAAAATAAATCATTCTTGTATGTAACTTTCCTCCTGTATTTAATATCCAGCTTAATCCCTATGTCAGAGACTAGAGGGGCTGTTGAAGGAGGGCCTCAGGCTAGAGGAGGAGACAGTAGAGAAAACAGGCCCAGGGCAAACCCAGGTTCCTGGGATGGCCTGACCCACTTACAGACTCTGACCTTGGCCAAGTTAGTCTGAGGCCTCTCTGTTTCTTCATGTTCAAAAACAGGATAACAGTGTTGTTTTGTGGAGTTGGTATGAGAATGAATGAGCTCTCTTACAGTACTAAGCCAGTAATAATAATGAGCATGCCACCATTTGAACCATTACTATCATTAACGTTATGTTGTTATTAAGGGAAAGCATAGTCCTCGAAGTCATGAAAGTCTGGATTGGCATCTCCTTTTTCTTAGTTCAAGAAGTTATCTGACCTCGAATAGCCATATGATCTCTCTGAGTGGCCTTCGCAGTAAATGGGAGTTGGTACAGACTGCCACAGGGCTCGTCACGAAAATTAAGTGATCTAAGTGTGTAATATGTCCGGTGCAGTCCTGTGACATAGCCTTCGCTGGCAAATGTTTGCCTTTTGTTCTGGCCTTTAAGTTTTAGGTTTCTTTACTTTCTAGTCGGGCCTTGAAAAGAGCATCGACCAGGCTGTGGAAGAGTGGGACATTGAGAAGGCGGAGGAGCTCAGCAACCAGCTGGCCACGCGGGAGGTGAGTCCAACTGGTATCTGCAGATTTTCTCAGATAAATGTACGGTTTTCTTTTGTGATTGTGAGTCAGTTCACTATTCAAATATTTGACCTTACATTTTCCTTGTGTCCATTCTCCTCCCTCTTATTCTGCCACTTAGGCTGAAGTGCTGGGTTTTATTTTTGTCTTTAATGTTTTTAAATCATTCTGGTCTGAAACTTATGGTGGAAATAATCCATGATTGATATTCAACCTTAGATTTCGCCTGGGTTTCAGAGAGCTTGTGCCAGTTAGGATGAAAAGACAGGCTTTCTTTTTCCATTTGCATCTTTAATTCAGTTGAACTCTCCCTGAGGGCAGCTGTGCGTCACAGCCCTCACCGTCCTCGGCCCTCGCTTCCCAGATGCTTTCTTACTGCACATTCTAAGTCGTTTTCAGCTTCTTAAAACTGATAGTCTATAATATAAAACTAATAGAGAAATTGAATATTCTTCTTCCAAGTACACAAGGCTTCTAGAAGATTCTGACCTGCACCTTTTGGAGGGAGTACTTCTCCAATTGGGAATTGCTGCCAAGTGTCACTAAGCAACAGAACTAAGAGCTCATATTGGCATATGTTTTATTGTTGTTAGCGTTGTTTTGTGGTTCTTTCTGTGTGTGTGTGTGTGTGTGTGTGTGTGTGTGTGTATGCGTGCGCGTGTGTATGTTATTTTGAGAGAGAGCAAGAGCATGAGCAGGGGAGGGGAAGAGAGGGAGAGAGAATGTCAAGTAGGCTCCATACTCAGCACAGAGCCCGACTTGGGGCTCAATCAGACAAACCGTGAGATCATGACCTGAGCTGAAATCAAGAGTTGGACACTTAACTGACTGAGTGACCCAGGCACCCCAGCTTCACCTTATTCTTAAACTGTACTCTCTGGTGTTTAATTACATAGACAGCAGCATAGGTGATCTGTGTAAACTGTTGGCCACATGTGCTGTTCTTTCTTACTTGCCTGCAAGTGAACATTTGTTCTACACTGAGACTAGTGATGGAATTACTGTGTCAGTACAGTCTTCTGTGGAAACACCATTTCACTCTTCTATCTCCCAGTGTCGAACAACCCACTTTTGATGGCTGTTTGCTGGTTTGTTTTCTATTCTTAGCTACTGGCCGTAAGTGTGCTGTGTTCTTATGGAAGGAAATGAACAAGTTTAGAAGTGAAGTTGAGGGATTCAGAAGTTACCTTTTTTTCTCATAGGCCTTTAAAATCAATTGTTGCGTTAAACACTTCTGTTTATAATGTGTCTGTGTATGTATGTTTATTAATGGCTAATCTAAAGGAAATTATGAAGTTCTGAGCTTGAGTTTGGGACATAGGCAAGAAATGGCATAAGTGGCGGTTATGCAGCCTTTCAAAAAGTGACATTTTGGGGCACCAGGGTGGCTCAGTTGGTCGAGTGTCTGACTTTGGGCTAGGTCCTAATCTCAAAAACAAATAAACAACAACAACAAAAAAAGATTTTAGGAAAAAAAAGTGACATTTAAAAAAAATTAAAGTTTACTTTTTTCTTGTAAGATCCATTCTTCCCTTCCCAGCTTATGATATTTCTTGTACTTTAAGTTTGATATTTGCTCTCTTTCATTTTTAGAGTAGCCATATTTTGATTTTATTGATTATAGCACTCATTGGATATAATAGCAATTATCACTCTGTTTTCACATAGAAAGATTCAGGTATTACATTTATTAAAATGAATTTGGTGGTGTGTTGAATGGTACCGCAGCCTCGATAGTGTTAGCTGGAAGTTACTATAGTGGCTTCTTCAGTTTGATAGGTGCTTGGCACTTATCTCTATAAATCAACTGTGTGTCAAAGACCGTCTTTAAAATTCTGTTCAACAATAGAGCACTTAGTGTTTGGTGGTAATGCTTTGGCTCTTGGAACTTACTTTTCCATAGAGCTGTTGTTAGAGGTAGTAGGGAAGTTTCTTGGGTAGCCTGAAAATATACACAATGTAGCAGAATATATCACTGGTTTATAGTTTATATCATCTCCAACTTTGGGGGAATTGACTGTGAAATGTCAGAGAAGGATGGGGAGGGACATGCTTATGGGACGAACTGGTGTACCCTGGTTCTTGCTTGTCATTCTTCCTTTTGGAAGACCCAAGAGTTGTGTATTTTGTGATCTCTACCAAATAACAAGTTGGCTGTGACTCAACCAGAGGCCCCAGGTCAGTAGATATTCTCAGCTCTTTGCTTTTTAACAGAAGAAAGCATAATGCAGGCCTCGTCTACAGCATTAAAATGCGGGCCCCACGTGACTCATCCATGTCTGGCTGTTTGTCTTTTTCTGCTCATTAGCACCCCCACCTGAGGCAAGGGTGATTCAGCGTGAAGCATTTACTTTTTTGCCAGCTTTGTGGTTTTTTGTAGGTAAAGTTAGTAATGCTAAAATTTTAAGAGTTGAATACATTTGATTTTTTTTTAAGTTTTATTTTGAAATAATTTTAGACTTTCAGAAAGTTGCAAAGTTTATGAAAAGATTTTCTATTTACCTTCACCCAGATACCCAAGATGTTAACGTTTAACATTTGCTTTCCCGTTCATTCTAATTTATATACCTCATTTAGATTTGCCAAATGTCTCACAGATTTCCATTATAGCAAAAAGAACAGTTTCTTTTTCCTGGTCTAGGACATTGCATTTTGTTGTCATGTCTCTTTATTCTTCTTTAATCTGGAAAGTTCTTCAGTCTGTCTTTATTTCTTAGGACCTTAGCATTGTTGAGAAGTAGAGGCCAGTGATTTTGCAGGATGCCCTTCAGTTCTGGTTTGTCTGCCGTTTCCCCATGCATTTTTGGCAGGAGTGTCACAGACACAGTACTGTGTCCTTCCTAATGCAGGACATCAGGAAGCACATGATATCTATCTGTCCCAGTTTTTGATGTCACTTTGAGTTTTTGGTTAAGGTGGTGTCACCAGGTTTCTCTGCATTATTATAATGTTACTGTTTTCCCATATGTAATTAATACATATCACATGGAGAGATGGGAGAGAATTTGAGATTAATGTAAGTATTCTATTTCTCATTATACTTTACCCACTAGTTTTAGCATCTACTGCTGATTCTATTCATCTTTGGGAGGGTTGTTATTATGGTGGTTGCCAAACTAGATCTTTAAAACATTATTTGGTCATACTTTTCATCTTTACCTGGCAAACCAAACCTAAAATTTGCCTTGAATGAGATATTGGATTACATAATCTTTTATGTATACGTTAAATCTTGCAGAAAAACTTGGACAGTTGAGAATTGGATATAGGTTTTTTTTTATTTTTATTTAAAAAAAGTTTTTAATGTTTTATTTATTTCTGAGAGAGAGACAGCACGAGCAGGGGAGGGTCAGAGAGAGAGGGAGACACAGAATCTGAAACAGACTCCAGGCTCTGAGCTAGCTGTCAGCACAGAGCCTGACACGGGGCTCAAACCCACGAACTGCGAGATCATGACCTGAGCCGAAGTCGGACGCTTAACCAACTGAGCCACCCAGGTGCCCTGGGATATAGTTTTTTTTTTAGATGATGCACTCGGAAGAGATGCTTTCCCTTCCCTGTCAGTGATCACTTGCGAGCTTTCCTTTCTCTGCCGTTCAAAGCTGCGTGTCACAGTGCACGGATGTGCCTTACCAGCTTCAGAGACATGTGTCTTCTTTGAGGATATTAGGTTTCTTTTTTTGTGTTTTGTTTTGTCATGCTGCTGTTTTAGAAATGGGAATTGCATAGCACTGAGTAGGCATTTTCCATTTTAAGGGTGTTATTTCCTGTTACCTTTATGACAAATGAGATTGCTTCAGAAATACAGGATATTTTCATCACTTGTAAGGATAGTAAACATTTTCCTCAGGAGTTGTGTTTTTTTTTTTTTTTACTTCCATATATATATATATATATATATATATATATATAAAACATGACTTGTTCTAGTAAAATAAAACTTATTTAGTGTGGTGTTACAGAATTCTGATTAAAAGAAAAATACAGTTCTCTTCTTTTCCCTTGTATAAGTGGCAAAACATCTGGAAAGTGTTTGCTGTTCAGACACAGACATTGGAAAGATACTGATGCCATGTTAATTAAACACCCGCGAAGAATGACTAAAGTAATCAAGATGGAATTCTTGAATAAATAGTTTAGTTTGAGATTTAATTTTTCATATTTATCCCCTTGGTGCTAATCACCATGGATATGAGAGATGGGATTTTGAGAAGTAAGTAATTGTGAGTTTGGGGTAGAAACCCTTTATGAATGAAATGTATATGTGCATGGTAGGTGTCCTTTTGGAAATCAGGTATATTAGTTTTTAATCAGTCCCGTTTTCTTTTTTCAAGAAGCAGTCACTGGGACCTACTGATAAAGCCTTTGCTCAGAGGCACAGACCCCAGAGTTCTCAAAGCCTTTTCCAACCATAATAAGTGAAACTAATTTTTGATGTTTAACGTTTATAAGCCTGTGAAACCAATAGGGCAGCGTGAGTATTGAAAAAAAAAAATGAAGCCCAAAGTAGAACCAGGCCTGGGAATGGGCCTTGAATGCAGTTCCTCAAAAAACAAAACAAAATAACGGTATGCCGATTGTCTGTGTGCTGTCCCTGTGACATAGCAAGTGCATATTTTTCCAGTCATGTTCCCTTCAGTTTACGATGACATTCAGGATATTTATTCTCCGGTTTGAGGGGAAGGCTCAAATTCACATGTGTGAAGCCTTGATTGTGCCAACATCTTTGGTTTTGCCATGTTGTAATGGAGTTGCTTTGGGACTGTCCCTCCTGTTGATTAAATACTTGTTTGTCATTAACAGTCTTGGAGGAGAGAGAGAGACAGAAATATACTTGTGTTTGTGTCACACTGATGAAACTGTTCTAATTTGGAAAAAAAAGTTTTTTAAAAAAATATCACTTACACATACACACAAAGTATTTGAGAGTATTTGTGGCTTGTTAACCTCAGGCCTGAGTTGGAAGTACATTCCATTCATTC